TGCAAAACGATTAGTGAAATGAAAAGATGCCATTTCTAAATGGAAATGGACGCATTATCCCCAAAAGGCCAAAAAGAGAACGAGATTGGTGCCTTTATTCCATCTAGACCATAAGAGAATCCTATTCTTTTTTACCATTGGCTCCTTTAGACCATATCTAACTTTGATGGATTCAATATTAAGCCAGCAACGAAAGCAACTCGTCTGTTTTAGTTTGTCTCTATAATCTTGGGTCTTCCTATTCTCCCAGTGAGTTCACATAAATTCCTTTAGGGCTCGTTAATTAGTAATTATTAGAATTGATTTTATGATCATTATGGAAAGAAATAGGGGCCACCTGTGAGTGAAAAAGTCAAAAATAATGTCTGGAATCGTAAAATAACGATCAAAAAATCAATTTTTTGGGATGAAAAAGCAATACCAAATGGGGGCTTAATTTGTTCTATATGTGCAGATTCTATTAAGTAATTTGTTTTCTTTAGTTGCAGCAATGGGTATGGCCATATCCCGGCTGGTGACTATGTTTTCGCGAAGCAAGAGATGAGGATACTGATCGTGGGATTTGATGCTTCTGCCAAAACAACTATTGTACAAGTTGAAACTTGGAGAGATTGTTACTACCATTCCTACAATTGGTATCTGCAATAACCATCCACACTATTTCATTCTTTTTGCCTTCAGCTTTTAACACGATCTGTTGAAAGATCAAAAGAACAAACTCATACAGCTTATGTGATTTCTGTTTCTAATTAATCAAGATTCAAGGAGATAAAAGATTATAATATTTATAATAGGGATAATTGCAGGAAAAGTGTCAAACCTTTGAAACACTAACTCACTTTTTCCAAACCTTTGATTGATGTAGTCGTCCTCCCTAACATTTCCATACTTTGTAGGTGAAGGCCTTTTGGACAGTTTTTATTTACAATTCTGTCAGTTGACCAAAAATTTAACTTTGACCATTTTTTAATATTTTAAAAAGGGACAAAAGAATAGCTTTCCATTTATGACATTAAATAATTAAATTAAAAAAAAACAAACACACACACACACACACACAATCTTTTTCTTCCTCTCACCCCTCACCCACCCCCACCTCAAATCCAAAATCTACACCGACCACCACCACCTCCATGTATGACATGTATTTTTATTCATTTGTTTGATTTGGATTGGATCACGAAGATCTATATTTGTTTTTTAAGTTTTTCTCGTCACTTTTTGTTTGATATATTGAGAGAGAAATAAAGAGGCGGAACTAGAGGTTTAAGTAGCTGACGGGCCTCAAGGGCACCAATCATTGGCTATAAAAGAACAAGGTGAGATTTCTTTTTGTAGTTTTTGTTCCTATTTGGGTGTAATATAACTAGATTTAATTTAGTTTCCAAATATCTTATTGTGGAATTTTGGAATTTATGACTAAATGTCAAATGGTTTGGTTTCATTTTTTGAATCGGTGGTTTGAAGAGTTGATTTGGTTGCAGTCAGGCAGTTTCCTTCATCTTACAGGTCAATTGATTAAGGTGCAGGACTCTTGATTGAGGTGGAAGTGGCAATGGTCAGGTGGATTTTGGGTTTGAGGTAGGGGTGGGATGAGGTTGGGTGAGGGGTGAGAGAGGAAGAAGACGATTGTGTGTATATGTGTGTTTTTTTATTTCTTATTTCTTATTTTAAAATTTAATAATTTAATATGATAAATGAAAATTTATTCTTTTGCACCTTATTAAAATATTAAAAATGTGGTCAAAAGTTAATTTTTTGGCTGACTGACAGAATTGTGGATGAAAACTTTCCAAAAGGGCTTCACCTGCAACATTTGGAAAATGGTAGGGGTGACAACTGCAACAAATCAAAAGTTTGAAAAAAGTCTGCTAATGTTTCAAAGGTTTGAAGTTTTTTGTACAATTATCCCTTTGTAATAACTTACATAAAAATTCTACCCACTACAACCCTTTTTTGCATCACTAATACTACTAATCAATCACATCGATTTCTTATGATTCATGATAAGTGTATTTTATATACTTATTTGGACCTAAAGATATAGACATTTAATAGTTCTTTTGAACAATTATAACCTAATTTATTAAATATTTAGTTTATTAGGTGAAACTCGATGAATGGAGGTGGAATTAAAAGAAAAAGCAAAAATTGGCAAAAAGGGGGGGCAAGATCCAAAGTTTGAGAACTAAAGTTTAATTATTTAAAAGTTGTGTCAAACCTCATGATGAAGATTTGAGAATACTATGAGTCAATTAGATGCAATTAGAAGTCAAAAAGAGTGAAATATGGCTAAAATATTTTCACAAATTAATTTTCAACAGCACAAGGATATTATAGATTTTTAGCTGGGGATTGAAACTCATTTTGACCTAGTAAATGTTCGAATTGGAAAATTTTATTTCAATAAAATTGTAGCCCTTTGAATTATCTTTAAAACCCAATTCGAATCGTCTCAATCGAATATCGGGAAAAAATGTTATGACAAAATACTAAAGAAGGTGCAGTGCTGAAATTCTCGCAGAGCTGCTGATATGGATTAGGTCGCGATTTTGGTCCTTTAAAGTCCATAAAAATCCTACAACAACCAAAAAGTGGAGGCAGCTATAAATACAAGTTTTTGACACTTTTGATGAAGTTCCATAAAATTTGGGGAGAGAAGACATAATCATCAAGATAAAAGAGCAAAAGCTAAGGTTTGAAAACTTTTGAGGTTGAAGAAGATTCTTGGTACAAGATCCAATTTTTCCATGATCAAGATTTCTAAACCCAGTCATAAACTCTATGCTTTTTTTCTCTCATATTATGAATAGCTTAATTCATAGTTAGGGCGAACAATGTAATATGTTTATTTTATTCAATATTCAAGTTCTTTAAATGCATATATGTTAATTTTAGTTATGTACTTAATTCTTTGAATTCTTTGGCTAATTATTCAATGATTTTGAAAATCTATTACGAATCAAGAAGTGAGTTATAGATTTAGACCATATATTAAAATTCAATAATTTAGTACAACATGTAGAGATATCTATAATAATTATTGCGGTCGTTAGATGAATTCTTAGAACTAATATTTCGTTTAACTAAGATTTGAAGCAGTTGTAATACCGAATGCTACCATTACTACTAGATAGCCTATGCAAATATAGAAAGTGAATATTCGGTCATTTGTTCGTTAATTTACAAATATGGTCTTTATGGAGGCATTACTTCAAGAACACTCATGGACTTATATTCGTTGTGGATAGTAATGACAGAGAAAGAATATCAGAAGCTAGAGACGAACTCCATCGCATGCTTAGTGAGATATGTTTAGTTTGTACATTTTACAACACTTCTAGACAAGATTTCCCATCAGTCGGTTTCTAAGTTGTTACCTTGGATTCCTTGATATGTTTTCAGGATGAATTACGGGATGCAATACTTCTTGTTTTTGCCAATAAAGAAGATCTCCCAAGTGCAATGAGTGCCTTCAATCCTTGTGTCAGCATCGTTGGTATGTGATGCTCCCATATCTACCAACCACGATCTCGACCTATTTTAACCCGACCTCAACCTCTTCCAAATCCATCAAAAGTGAGGTCGGGGGTATGTTCTTTTCGACGACCTCATATGCTCTTGTCCCACTCTTTCCAATAACGTAGAAGAGTGCAAATTCTATTTAGACCACAATCCTTACCCTATTGGACTCCTTCTCCAACTCAAACAATGTTTGAACACTTGGAGTCAAACACTAACTCCTTATCCTACAAGGATAAGGATCTCACATGATTAAGTCCTTTTAGGACTCTATCATCAATACCTATAAATACATGTCCCGAGCTCATTCTTGAGGTACGTTTTTCATTATTTACAGTTTATAGCCTCACGCACTAAATTTCCTATCTGACTTAAGCACCGGAGGGACGACGAGCACACACCTCGTTGCCTTTGTTTCAGGTATTCGAAAACCATTTGTGTTCACTCAAGTTCGTCCAAGTTCGGAGTTCGATCATCCAGTTCGAGGTCTTTCAGGTACATTTTTTTGGCATCATCACTGGCGCCGTCTGTGGGAAGCGCTACCAAAAGCCATGGTCAACACACGTTCAGGTCTTCCTCCAGCAAACTCATCCGTCCTGGATAACCCTCCTCCTCCTGAGGAACGCCATGTCCCTCAAGAATAATCGTCGGAGATGCCAACACCTTCTCAAGCTTTTGTTACCGTCGGTGTTTTTGAGGAACTTCGTCAGTAGGTGGATTAACCCAATTGTTAAGCCAGAGAAATTCGCACATGTCTCATACCCCAACCCCCGAAAGTGGTTTTATGGCAGATGCCCGGGCTCGAGTCCGTCGTACTGCTCAGGATGATGGCAGGGTTGGAACTTCAGGTGCACCGCAAGTGGCTTCAGGTTTGAGGTTCGTTACAATGGACTCCGCTGAACTTGCTAGAATTATTCAAGAAGGGATAGCAGTGAGTATGCAACAGAATACTTGAGTAGCAACAGGATTCACCCCCAATACGCTGTTCACTCCAGAGGTTCTCTCATACCCTCTCTCGGATAGGTTTAAGTATCCTCGGATAAAGAAGTACGATGGGACAACCGATCCCATCAATCATCTTAATGTGTATTATCATGAAAATAGATGTAGTGATGTGCAAGGCTTTTCCTTAGACCCTCACAAACGCAGCAAGATATTGTTTTTCCACATTGGAACCCAACTCTATTGCCTCTTTCTCAGATTTGGCCGATAAGTTCTCCGCTTTTCTTTGCAAGCAGCAAACGAATCAGAAAGACAGCCGCATTACTCATGCAGATGCGTCAAGGACCCAATGAGACACTGCGTAGTTTCATGACCAGGTTTAACAAGGAAAGGCTTCAGATCCCCGATCTACATATCACTGCCGCAGTCTCAGCTTTGACATACATCGTTAAGTGTGAAGCATTCAAGATGTCTTTGTCTAAGACCCATCGAAGTCAGTAACCGAGCTACTCACACGAGCTGAAAAATACATCAATATGGAAGAAACCATAGCCTCATTAGGAAGGTCAGATCAGAAAAGGCCACATGAGTCCAGTTTGAGACAAGATACACCTCGGGTCAAGCCAAGGCAGGACCCCTCCTCAACATCCTTTAGCCGTTTGAACACCTCAAGATCCAACATTCTGATGGAGATCAAGGATTCAAAGGAACTGAAGTGGTCTCCCAGATTGCAGTCTCCACCCGATACTCGTGATAAGAGTAATTACTGTGATTTCCATAGAGATCATGGACATACAGTGGAAGACTGTTTCACCTTGAAGCGAGAGATTGAAGCTCTTATAAAAAGAGAATTTTTGGGCTCTTACATTAGCAATGACAAGCGCCCAAGGAATAATCAGAACAGAGACAAGGGCCCAAAGGGTCGGGGGGAGATTCTAGTAGCGGACGTAAACAATATGCCAGGCAGCCTCCAATCATCTCAAGATCAGATCTTGGTTGTACAGAGGACATCACTTTTGGAACAAAAGACTTGGAAGGCATAACATTCCCTCATGATGATGCTCTGGTCATATCGGTCATCATCGCCAACTTTGAAGTCAAGAGAATTCTGGTAGACAACAGAAGTGCAGCTAATGTACTGTCTCATGAAGCCTTTGTTCAAATGGGGATCTTATCGGAGTAGCTCAAGCTAGTCAAAACACCTCTCTAAGGATTTGGAGGTGGGGTCATCACCCCGGAAAGTATCATTGGGTTGCCTTTAACATCGGGGACAGAAGGTAAATAGGTGACGCAGATCACCACCTTTGAAGTTGTCTGTACTCTAATGGCCTACAATGCCATATTGGAAAGATCATTGCTCAACAGAATTCGACCTATTGTCTCAACTTTTCACTTGACAATGAAATTTCCTACAAGTAATGGAATCGGGGTAGTTCGAGGTAGCCAAACAGTGGCACGACAGTGTTATGTAACTAGTGTTCGAAGAATCAAGAGCGATGTCATGCAAGTTATAGAACTCGAGCTCGAGCACAAAAATCATGACAGATTATCTCTAGTGGAAGGATTGGAAAAGGTCAAGCTCGAGCCTGGCAGGAAAGTGACAGACGGACGGGAGTTGAATACAGCAGTCATAGCTGAACTACTGAATTGTCTCTCTCGCGACATTAATGTATCGGCTTGGAACGTTGAGGACATGTCTGAAATTGACCTAGAGGTTGTGGTACACAGACTCAATGTAAACCCAAAGGCAAGACCTGTGACACAAAGGAAAAGACAGTTTGCACCCAAAAGACGAGAAGTCATAAAGGAGGGGATGGCCAAACTTGTTAACGCACAATTCATTCGGGAAGTACGATATCCCGATTGGCTTGCTAACGTAGTTCTGATCAAGAAAGCTAACGGGAAATGGCGAGTCTGCATCGACTTTACAAATTAGAATAAAGTATGTCCCAAAGACAGTTATCCTCTACCTCGAATTGACAACATCGTGGACAGCACGTCAAGTCATATGTTGTACAACTTCCTGGATGTTTTTTCGAGGTATCACCAAATACTCATGGTGGAAGAAGATCAAGAGAAGACCTCATTCATGGCAGACTCAGCCATCTATTGTTACGGGGTCATGTCCTTTGGACTAAAGAATGCTGGAGTAATGTATCAAAGGTTGGTAAACAAGATCTTCGCCGAATTAATTGGGAAAACAGTTGAAGCATATGTGGATGATATGGTGATTAAAAGCAAATAGGTGAATAGTCATGTCTCTGATCTTGAGGAAGTATTTGCCACATTATGGAGATACAACATGAAGCTAAACCCCGCAAAGTGTGCGTTTGAGGTGGCATCTAGAAAGTTCTTAGGTTTTATGATCATGCATAGAGAAATAGAGGCGAACCCTGATAAAATCCAAGCTTTGATAAATATGGAGGTCCCTAAATGCAAAAGGGACATTTAGAGGTTGACAGGTCGCATAGTAGCACTAAACAGGTTTGTTTCCCGGGCAGCAGACACGTGTTTCCCCTTCTTCAAACTATTTAGGGAAAATAAAAGCTTTGACTGGAATGAGGAATACAACTTAGCTTTTCAGGAGCTCAAATAGACACTAGCAACACCCCCAGTCCTTACCAAACCCGAACCCGATGACACGTTGCTATTATACTTGGTCGTTTCCCAGAATGCAGTAAGTGGAGTCTTAGTAAAAGAGAAGGAAAGAGTCAACGGCCTGTCTATTATGTGAGTAAAGTACTCTTTGATGCAGAAACACGGTACACACTTGCAGAACAGCTGGCCTTTGCTTTGGTAATAGCTGCCAGGAAGTTGCGACCGTACTTTCTGTCACATCCAATTGTGGTACTCACCAACCAATCTCTTAGACACATACTCCAGAAGCCGGACGTCCCAGGAAGACTGTTAAGATGGGCAATTGAACTTGACGAATTTGACATAGAGTTCAAGCCGTGACTTGCAATTAAAGCTCAAGCTTTGGCTGACTTTATAGCAGAACTCACTCCGAAGACCTCGAAAACACAGGTTAACAACCCGAGCACGACCTTGAAAATTTGGAAGATCTTTGTAGATGGAGCATCCAACAGCTCGGGCTCCAGGGCCAGCGTCATCATCACCAGCCCAGACAAGGCTACTGAAATATAATGTGCGCTCACATTTGAATTTAAGGCCACCAACAACGAAGCAGAGTATGAAGCCGTTATCATGGCCCTAGAACTTGCAAAAAGTCTCGAGTTGGAGCATGTCAAAGTTTTTAGGGACTCATAGCTAGTGGTCGGGCAAATCAAGGGATCTTTCGAAAGAAAAGACGAGAAGATGAGCTGATACTGTCTGAAAGTACATGACCTTCAGAGGCAATTCATAAGTTGTGAAATCCTAAAGGTGGCCAGAGCTGATAGTGCCAAAGCTGATGCATTATCCAGACTTGTCTTCATGGGTGTGGACGGGCTCGATAGAAACGTGCACGTCAAGATAGTTGCAGAACCCAGCATAGCTCAAAAGCCAAGTGTCATGGACATCGACCATGAGCCCTCCTAGATGGAACCAATATTTGATTATATCAGAAATGGCAACCTACCTACAAACCCTCAGCTTGCTAGAAGCAGTCGGTATAGAGCTGGTAGGTATTGTCTAATCGAAGGAGTCCTGTTCCGTAGAAGTTTTACACTCTCTTATCTAAGATGTCTCAAACCGTTCGAGTCTTTGTAAGCCTTGATTGAAGTTCATGAAGGCATTTGTGGAAATCACCAATGAGCCCGAGCTCTTACATGTAAGTTGATAAGGTATGGGTACTACTGGCCAAGTTTAAAGAAGGATGCTATGGATTACGTTCGGAAGTGCGACAAGTGCCAAAAGTTTGGCAACATCATACATGATCCTACTGAGGAACTAACTTCCATTCATTACTCAGCTCCCTTCGAATGGTGGGGAGTCGATATTTTTGGGTCATTCTCCTTGGCCCGAGGACAATTAAAATTTGTAGTTGTGGCAATGGCGTATTTCACAAAGTGGGTAGAGGCTGAACCACTAGCAACAATTTCAGAGCCAAAGCTCAGGTCATTCATATGGAAGTTCGTCATATGCAGGTTTGGGATACAGAAAGTCCTCATCACAGATAACGGAAGGTAATTCGGCAATCCACAGTTCAGGAGCTTCTATGCCAACCATGGGATTGATCATCGCTGGACCTCGGTATCACACTCACAAAGTAATGGGCTCGTCGAAATAACTAATCGGATCATACTGCAGGACCTCCGAACAAGAATAAGGGATGCCAAAGGTGACTGGCTTGATGAACTGCCTTCTATACTACGGGCATACAAGACTTCGCACAAGACATCAACTGGTGAGACGCCCTTCATGCTTGCCTTTGGACTTGAGGCTACCATCCCAATCGAGGTCAGCCTCCTCACAATAAGGAAGCTCGAGATGAATGGGGAGAGACAAACTACTGAGCACCTTGACTTGCTTGAAGAGGTAAGAGAGCAAGCCTCACTTAAAGCTGTAAGTTATTAGAACAGAACGACAAAAAACTTCAACAACAAGTTCCAGACAAGAAGGTTCAGAGCTGGCGATCTTGTCCTTAGAAAAGCAAAAGCTGCTAGGCACCAACTAGAGAAGCTCAGACCAACATGGGAAGGACCCTTCGAGGTCATCAGAAAACTAAAAGGTGGAGCCTATAGCCTCAGAGACACATCGGGGAAGCCACTCCCAAGGCCATGGAACGTCAATAATCTGAAAATTTATTACAAGTAACTAGATATAGTTATAATTTTTTCTTTTAAGGCTTGCATGCCCACTTTATGTTTGTTTTATTTCGTTTTTATTTTTCGGGCTCTAACGCCCTAACAGCTCATGCTCCAATAAACTCGAGTATCAACGCCCTTAAGCCCTTTTAATAATACACGAAATTTTATTTACGATGTTGCTTCCCTATTAACAAAATTAGCATAAGGCTGTGCCCTACGCATGCAGCTAATAACTTAACAAAATTAGCATAAGGTCGTGCCCCGTGCATGCAGCTAATACCTTAATACCTTAACAAAATTAGCATAACGCCGTACCCCGCTTATGCAGCTAATATCTTAACCAAGTTAGCGTAAGGCCATGCCCCGTGCATGCAGCTAATACCTTAACCAAGTTAGCGTAAGGCCGTGCTCCGCGCATGCAGCTAACACTTAACCAAGTTAGCATAAGATCATGCTCCGAGCATGCAGCTAACACTCAACCAATAGAACCAAACACCCGACCTCAAATGGCAACAGGCCGAGCATAACAAGCCCCGACCTCTTCGATCCCAAAATGCACTCACAACAAAGAATTTTGAGATCGAGATCAGGGCATGAAATAAGTTAAATTACAATGGACAAGCCCGAGCTTATCCTTTAAATGGTCAGCAACCCAATGGTCCTTCCTCGATATGGGAAATTGAAAGATCAGTTTACAATATACGACACTAATACTCGTTGACCCCAAACATGACGCTCCTACTCGAAGCCTGAAAATACATCTTCGAGATTAGAAATCGGAGTCCAATTTCCCAAGTAAAAGGATCGATCAAATTCATAGTCTGGACGATCTTTATTATTGAGGAGTACAATATCCTCGAGCTATCACATACCCGGGCTAAATACTTCGACATTCAAGTTAATTAAGTTGTGAAATATAATCTATGCTAATAATGGATCTTTTAACGATCCATGCATGATCATAACGTCCACACACGAACTTAAAATTCACGCACGATCTTATAATGAAGGCAGGTCGTATAAACTAATAACAAACTACAAGGCCCAAATTGGGCAATAAACATCGATTTTCAAACACAAAAGTAAGAAGCCCCAGGTTGGGCAATGTACTTAATACAATTTTGAGAAACAGAAATCCAATGACTAAGGCCTAATCGAGCTCCATGGTGTCAGCATCGGGGGTCCCATCATCATCGTCGTCGTCATCGCTCTCATCCTCGACCTCTGAGGTAGATAGCTCAAGCTCGTTTTCGAGCTCGTTCACCGTCTTGAGCTTCTCCACTACCGACTTCAAGTCGTCAAGGAGCTTCTTCCTCAAAAAAGAACATGCAAGTCGTAGCCCATAGTGGTACGAACCTGAGCCATACTACCCAAGAAGAGTCCCGAACTCGTCAGATTTCTTAAAATCTTCGATTGCCTGAGTACGAGCCTC